CAACCTGCACAAGGAGCAAGAAATATAATCAACTGCATGACGAAGATAACCGATTCGTGTACAACCGAATCACCACCACACTACTCACCGGAAGAAGAGCTTAACAACAGAACGCCTCGCCGTGAGCTACTTCAGCCGAATCCAACGTACGCCGCCATCGCTCAAAGTGAACCGTCCGGCCAAGACACCTGGTTCTTGGACAGTTGCTGCGGGCAACACATGTGCTCGTCCGGGCGTTTCGTACAACGCGAACATCGACTCCAACGGGAAGTGATCATCACGGTTGCCAACAACCAAAACCTGCGCACACGAAGACAAGGAGTGGTACAGCTTCAGTCAAGAGAAACAAATGGCATACTGCACATGTCTAAGGTACTCATCGCTGAAGGACTCGGCTACAACTTACTGAGCGTTAGCCAGTTGATGGCGAAAGGAATTCATCTGGAAGCCGACAGCACGACCCAGGAGTTCAAACTTTACCACGGGAGAGGCGGTCTCTACATCGGGAAAGCAGTGCTGAAGAACAACGTCTTCGTCCTCGACTTCGTTCCTGACCTGGGCACTGCAGACAGCGACGCCATCGTGAATTTCACTGACTGGACACACCCTCCGGATCTCGACCCCGACTTCAGCCCAGGAGGCTTCTGGTACTCGCACACCATTCCTGAAGCAGAACGAACACGAGCATTAGCAACAATTCGACAATCGGCAGCAGCAGCAACAACATCGGCAGCAGTAACAACATCGGCAGCAGCAACAACATCAGCAGCAGTAACAACATCGGCAGCAGCAACAACATCGGCAGCAGCAACAACATCAGCAGCAGCAAGAACAACGACACCAGTCACAGTCGACGAAGCACCACCAACACCCGCGCAACAGCTGAATCCGACTCAACGTGAAGTCCACCGAAGCGCCAACCTCGTCGCCAGTTTTTACTCCAACTCCGACGCATATCAGCGTTCACCTGGACACCGCGCCTCCGAAGAGATCTGGCACGCACGAACAGGACATCCAAGCAACACGGTTTTGAATAACACGATAAGAGCAGGAGTCCTTGACAAAGATTCTCTACTTCTACCCGATGGCAGAGAACTCCAGAAGGCACGAGGGACTTGCCTTATATGTCCCGAAGCTGACTTACCTCATCGACCGTTTGCTTCACATCACAACCCGAGCGCTCCAGCGTACGCACCACTCGAAAAGGTCTACAGCGACATCCTCTACAATCGCGAACCAGGACAAGTCAACTACAACTACACCATCACCTTCATCGACGCTGCCACTCGATACGTCTGGCATCGCAACCTTCCCAGCCGCGACATGGCGCTCGCAGCATTCGCCGCCTGGCTACCGATAGCAGAGAGAGAGTCTGGAACACAACTGAAAAATTTCCAGTCAGACGGAGGTGGCGAGTACACCTCTCACCGCTTCAAGCAGTTCTTGGCGGAAAGGGGGATCAAGCAACTCCTCTCCCTTCCCTACGCACATCAGCAGCAAGGTGTTGCAGAACGACTGAACAGGACCCTGCAGAACAGCATGCGCAAACTGTTACGTGGCATGCGGCTACCCAACCACCAGTGGCCAGCAGCAATGGACCACGCTGTCATGCTGCACAACTTGTTGTCGTCGTCGTCACTCCCGAACAACGCATCACCGCATCTGCTGTGGACAGGGAAGCAGGGCAGCACGAAAATGTTACGAGTTTTCGGGTGCATGGTACAGTACAGACCCCCAGAAGCACGAGCGGGAAGATTTTCGCAACGGGCACAGTGGGGACTACACCTCGGCATCGAGAAAAATTACAACGCATGGAGAATCTTCGACGTCCACACAAAGGAAACAGTAGCAGCACGTGACGTGATCTTCTACGAAAGACTCACCCTTCAGACGTACCTCGCCAACTTGCACGAGAATCGGGACCTCACCAGTGGTTTTCGTGGTGACCGAGCCTTCGCGTCAGCAGCGGATGAAGCAGACTGGGACGAGCAGAATGTTGACAACGCATCGGCAGAAGCCGGACCTCTCCCGTACTGCTCCGTCAACGTGCCCATGGACGAAGAAAATCCTCGCGACAGTAACAACGCCGAAGTCTTCTACCACTTCGCCGATACCGGTTACGTAACACCTGCAACCGTCAACACAAATGAAGCAGAAAGAATAGGACCGAATTTCATCCCTGATCCAGAAGCGGGAGACGAAGCAGCTTATCCCGAGGATCCAGAACTCCCTCGATACTCACAGACTGGGCTGCAAATCCTCGGCCTCGTCACCGCAGTCCACGGGAACACACGCAGCTCGCTTCCTAAGGAGCCTGCAACGGTTCAGCAGGCTCTGGGGGGGGAACACAGGGAGAAATGGCGTGAAGCCATGGATAGAGAACTGAAGGCATTAGAGGAACGCAACACTTGGAAGGTTGTTCCCGTAAGCGTGGCACGGAACAAAACCATCCTTACCGGGAAATGGGTCTTCCGCATCAAGACGAAAGCAGACGGCACGATCGAAAAATTCAAAGCACGCTGGGTCGTACGTGGATTCGACCAAGAGCAAGGACGAGACTTCACCGAGACCTTTGCTCCAGTCAGCCGCCACACGTCACTCCGAATTCTCCTCGCCATTGCCGCCATGAAGAAGAAGAAGTTACGGCAGATCGACGTCGCGAATGCCTTCCTCTACGCACCTGTGGATGCAGAAATCTACGTCGAGCTCCCGCACGGTTCCCACGGCGAACCCAACCGAATCTGTCAACTACTTAAGTCGCTCTACGGGATCAAGCAGGCACCGCGACTGTGGCAGCAGTACCTGCACGCCCGTCTCATCCGCATCGGCTTTAGTCAACTACCTCACGACCAAGGCATGTACCGCCTCACTAAGGGAAGCGACTACGTTCTCCTGATCGTCTACGTGGACGATCTCCTCTACATTGGGTCAACCGACGGCATCGCCACGTGGTTCGAAGGAGAGCTCCAGAAAGACCTCACGCTCACGGTCTCCTCCACCGTTACACAGTACCTCGGGCTCAACATCCGCGAAGAAGAAAACGCCATCTATCTAAGCGCCGAGAAATACGCCGACACCATCGCGAAACGCTTCAGCCTCACACCAAGCGCCATCTCCACGCCTTACCGCTACACATCAGGAACCGAGAAGGAACGAACTACTCTACTCAAGCCCGCCGGCATACGCGACTATCAGAAGAAGCTCGGATGCCTGCTATTCGCCGCCGTCACCTGCCGTCCCGACTTATCCTACTCCGCAAGTCAGCTCGCCACCTATCTCAAGAAGCCTGAAGCTGAACACCTGGCGGAACTTGATCGCGCTCTCCACTACTTCGTCAGCACCGCGACGATCGGGCTAACCTACCACAAGAGCGCAGCTACACCGACTAAGCTAATCGGCTACGTCGACGCCGATCACGCCGGCGACACCGACAACAGGCGCTCACGCACCGGCTATGTCTACCGCCTTGAGCCTATCGGTCCTATCTCCTGGCAGTCGAGCAAGCAGGAGTTAATCGCACTATCTTCAGCAGAAGCAGAATATATTGCACTCTGCTCAGCCACCAAGGAGGGACTTTACCTTCGCGAACTACTGGAAGAAGCGAAGCTAGCCGAGTTACCCAGCTTCACCGTGTTCTGCGACAACCAGTCAGCAATTCGCATCGCCAACAAAAACGGCTTCGCAAACAGGACGAAACACATCGCCCTGCGCTATTTCTTCGTGAAGGACGAGATAGAAAAAGGGAAACTCGATCTGTCATACTGCCCAACATCCGAGATGGCAGCCGATTACTTGACCAAGAAACTCGGCAAGCAGAAGTTCGAATACTGCATGATGCTGACTGGACAAGGCCACGTCACCAGCAGTAACACTCCAGAAGCGAAGGGGAGTGTTGGAAACAATAAGTCCTAAGTGCGCTTCTGTCGTATCAAAATCCAAGGCACCAAGCGAAGCAGTCCCAATCGAAGCATCGAGTCAACCTCGGAGGTTAGGGTAACCGCCTGGAGGTTACGAGAAAGTCAAAGGTCGCTGACCTTTGACTCGACAATTACAGCGCGACAGTTAAGGACACACAACTGACTCGTTACAGAGCAGTTGCCCGAGTCGCGCTATATCGAACCGCAACAGCAATACAGTTATCTATCTATTCCCTGTACTCTTATATAAATTCTTGTATTTGCTTGTTTAATTCAATCAACTTTGCTCTCACACACCAGTGCAAGGTCGGTTCAAATTCTTCACTAAACGCTTCCGCTATTACAACTACTTCACCTAGAGTTATCTCTTGAAAAGATCCTAAGGGGCTATCTCAGCCCAACACAACTCTCGTTATGTACTCGGCGAATTGTAATTCGCCGTTGCTTTGCTTCGTTACAGGCAGCTGCGCTTTGACACATTTTTAGAAAGTGTTACACACTTTCGAAAAAATTCATTACTCTGAAATGACAGGGTAAATTCAAAACTGCATCCTGAATTCAGGGTAATCAGGATGTTTTTCCCTGATAACCTGGGGCCTGGTCACCATCATCTGTATTTTGGTAGTGAATTATTCCATAAGTTTCTGGTTAGACAACAGTATATGAAAATCTCCTCCTGTCTACATCAGTGCTCCTGATGTACATGGCAATTTCTTCATTGTGGCACAGTGGCAATCCTTTATTCTACAGTAATCTTCTGGATATAAGACCCCCTGCAACATTCTGTTAACAACAGACTTCTATCATAGAAAAACCTAGTCTGATTGGGACATGGCAATGTGGTATCACTACATTGTCAAAGAATGTAGTAGAGCTCTCTTTGATTTACACCACATTATCGCATGCTCATAAGCCTATGAACCGGCAGCAAAACCAGCTCCCTCCTCTTCTCCTTCCTCGTCCTCATCTGCATCTTTAAACTGGTCCGGATCCCCCTCAGGTAACACCTGTCGAGTAATGTGGTGTTGTGGCAGTGTGGTTCCAACAGATCACATCACACCATACCATCACATACCCAAAAGCCTATGATCCGGCAGCAGCACCAGCTCCCTCCTCCTCGTCCTCATCCTCATCTGCATCTTCAAACTGGTCCGGATCTCCCTCAGGTAACACCTGCCGGGGTACATGGTGACATGGGGATATGGTGATGCGGTGAAATGGTGACATGGGGATGTGGTGATGTGGTGAAATGGAGACATGGTGACATGGGGATGTGGTGATGTGGTGAAATGGTGACATGGGGATGCGGTGATGTGGTGAAATGGAGACATGGTGACATGGGGATGTGGTGAAATGGTGACATGGAGACATGGGGATGTGGTGAATTGGAATCATGGTTGCCACATGAGATGGTGATGCATATCTCTCGCCCCCAGTCTCCTCCACCCCTCTGTCCTTCTCCCTCCCTCTATCCCTCCATCTCCTCACCACTCGTGCGTTGCTCAACACTTCATCCTCGTTATAGTACCAATCGCCCTCCCCCTCTTGCTCCGCTGCAGGGAAAGCAACACAGAGACGTCACATCACATCGCGGGGCATACCACACACACAACATTGAGCACACAGATTTTCAAGTAAAGCACTCAAATCCTTGACAAGGGGAGCGCACAAAAATATGACAAGAAAAATAGATGACAAGAGAATGAAATCACATCAAAGCACAGAGCCACAGGCTCCTTGCCACACCACACCACTGTCAAACCATCTAGATGCCATTTTGACGGGAATAGATTGCAAGCGGCCCTCGGACTCTCTTTGGACACTTCATGTTGGAAGATTTTGTTGCCTGCACTACTCTGTTGGAATAATCTGTAGCCTGCTAGGCTAGTGTGTGCGATTCTAGGGCACCCCATCCTCTCGCTCACCTCCTTCTGGGTCGGGATTCAGTGCAGCACTGTCGCACAGCGCTTTGAAAATGGCATCCACTGCATGGGATGGGAGAATGGGAGGGGGAAGGAGATAGAGTGAGGAAAAACAGGGATTTAGAGCAGCACTGTCGCACAGCGCTCTGAAAATGGCATCCACTGCAGAGGAAGGAGGAGAAGGAGGATGAGGGGGAGGGGAGAGAAAAGCAACAAGGAAAGAGAGGCAATAGCGTTATACAAGCAGGTTCATCTCCTGAGCATCACTTTCAGCAGGAGAAGAGGCGGATTAAAAGGAACTAAAAAGGTGGAAGGACTCTAGAGGCGCCTGAAAACACGAAGAAAGGCCGAAGAAGAGAGCGAACAGCTACTCACACGCAGCTTCCTCTCTGGGCGGAGACTCAGGCTCAACACACACACACAGCTGGAAACCAGGAGAATCAGGGAACACGAAAGACGGCAAGGGAGGGGAAAGCTGTATACTCACGAGCAGCTTCGTCCCTCGGAACAAGCCTCATTTCCGAGACAAGTGAGAGATTCTCAAAAACGTTTGCCACACTGCCATTCCCCACCGCAGCAACACCAGCACCATTAGCAGCAGCCACATCACCTCCCCTCACTTCCCCTTCAGCCTCCCGCATCTCCTCATCCTCGCCCTCTCCTCTTCCCCCTGCTCTTCCCTGTGATCCTCCTACACTGTTCGGTTGCTCTGCTGCCCCTTCTCCTCTTCCTCCCTCTTCCTCCTCTTCTCCTTCCTCCTCCTCGTCCTCCTCATCCTCGTCTTCCCAGTCACCAGTGTCAACCTGAACGGGACAGATAGCGAGGGAATTTGGGGTACAGGGTTTAAGGGTTGAATAACAGATACTTTTTTAGGCTTTAAGCCTTGAAGAGTTGGACATTTCTTTGTTCGGCATGCTTAGCTTTTGGTATAGGGGCTGGGGTATGGGGTTTGAACCTTTGATATTGGGGTCGGTTCGGGTATGCAATTCAATGATCTTATTGTCTAAACCATGTGTTTGGAGATGGCATGCATGCTCAGAGGCACGAGGATGACTGCCCGGGACTCAATAAGGTAATCCGTCCCACCCGACAAGCCCTTACCCACGTGTGTGTAAATGCAGGGCTTTGGGGCATGATACCCTATCACCTTGCCAGGCTTGCAAGTAGGGCAATCCGTCCCACCCGGCAAGGATTACCCACCTGCGTGTAGATGCAGGGCTTGGGGTATGCTTCGAGGTCTCTGGAGATGGCATGTATGCACGAGGACTAGAAGATGGGGGTACTTTCACCTGACCAACAAGCTCCCACCCACCCACCTGCGTGTAGATGCAGGGCTTGGGGTATGCTTCGAGGTCTCTGGAGATGGCATGTATGCACGAGGACTAGAAGATGGGGGTACTTTCACCTGACCAACAAGCTCCCACCCACCCACCTGCGTGTAGATGCAGGGCTTGGGGTATGCTTCGAGGTCCCTGGAGATGGCGTGCATGCTCAAATCCACCAGGCTGACTGCCGGGCGCAGTACTCAGCATGGAAATCCATCCGTCCCATTTGAGAAGCTCCCAACTACCCACCTGGGTGTAGATGCAGGGCTTGAGGTATGCCTCGAGGTCCCTGGAGATAGCGTGCATGCTCAGATGATCCGATCTACCAGGCTGACTGCCCACAGTCAGATGGCCTGACCGTATTCACACTAGAAAAGAATGCACCCACCTGGGTGTAGATGCAGGGCTTGGGGTATGCCTCGAGGTCCCTGGAGATGGCATGCATGCTCAGATCCACCAGGCTGACTGCCGGGCACTCAGACGCACTGACAATACAGTACTCACTCACAGTACCAACAAGCTCCCACGCACCCACCCACCTGTGTGTAGATGCATGGCTTGGGGTATGCGTCGAGGTCCCTGGAGATGGCGTGCATGCTCAGATCCACCAGACTCACTGCGACGCCGTGCGGGGTGTGCGTGGAGTGCCATACCACACGCCTGGGAGATGAAAGTGAGGGACAAAAGTGGAGATGGGAGGAGGGGAACACGTTATGCCTTGGTTGCTCAGATCCACCAGACTGACTGCGATGCCATGCGGGGTGTGCGTGGAGTGCCAGACCACACGCCTGGAAAGAGGGGAGCGGGTTGAAGGGAAGAAGGGAAGAGGGGCAAGGAACAGGGGAACACATGAGGCCACCCGTGGTCAAATCTCCCAGTTTGACTGCGACGCCGTGCGGGGTGTGCGTGGAGTGCCAGACCACACGCCTGGAGGGAGAGGAAAGATGAGAGGAGAAGAAGGAAAGAGGGGGAGAAACGGGAAAGAAGAAGGGAGGAGGGGAGGACATTAGGCTGTGCATGGTGGGATCTACCAGGCTGACTGCAATGCCGTGCGGGGTGCGTGTGAGACGTGCCACACATCACGCCTGGGAGATGACGGGGAAAGAAGGGAAGACGGGAAGAGAAACAGAGGGGAAGGGAAAAGGGGAACTCATGAGGTCAAGAAGCATGGTCAGATCTCCCAGGTTGACTGACAAGCCAGAGGGGTTTGGGCGGAATGCCACACCACACGCCCCAAAAGTGGCGTGGAAATGACAGGAGGAGAGGAGGAAAGCACACAAGGCCCTCCATGACTGAATTGGTTGTAATGAATATTGAGCAATCTCACTTGGATGTGATGTACAAGTTGCCTGATTCGTCCACGTCGGATTCGCCAAGCACCAATCCCACGTCAGGCTGGGAATGCAGAAGAACCTCCCCCGGTTCGCCCTCCTCCCCTGGCTCCAGCACCGGACCGCCGTCCGATGCTCGCTGATCGACGGCGATCAATCCACCTCCCATTGCGGGGAGTCGATAACGAGATGGCGATCGGCCTTAAAGACGCCTTGAAAGGCAAGCGAAGCGACAAAAAACCGACTAAAATGCAGTCGAATAGAAAACCGTGGGAACGAAGGCTTCGCGTGGTTACCAATTACCAGACTACAATGGGCCAATTATAATTCGACTTTTGGACGCGGATTTTCCGGCGCGATCGCGTGCACGATAAGGATGACGATGTATGCGACGATATCGACCAAGCATAAGCCCCACGCCTATTGCGGAATCGCGGTTCCTGTTTGATTTCCAGAATGGTCGGATATTCTCCAAGGAACGGAAGCGGTAGAGCATGTTCTGAGAATCTCTGCGATAGCAAGGTTCAGATCGAACGGCACAGACCGAAGCGAAGCGAACCAGTACTGACACATCTCCGGTACGTAATATATTCCCAAACACCTCAGACAGGAATAGGTCCCTGATGTTAGGCTGGTGTCAACGAGCTTCCAATATTTCGAATGGTACCTATCGTGGTTTCGTTCGGTGCAGCAGCCATGAATCTCCATATATTTTGCCAGCCCCATGGCTTGCTTCAGCCAGGCCTGCGGATTCACCGCGGATTATAGCTAAAGCAGGGCGTGTCACACATACCCGAAGGTGGTTTACAGCTCATGTATCACTGTACAGTTAGGCATCTAGCGTTTCAACCGGTGACGCGAAAGAACCGCTACAGAAAGCAAAACATCGTAGTCAACCGGTTCGATTGAACGGAAAACCTTTGTAGCGTGACAACCCCTCAGCTTGATTCCAGTCCGTCTCGAAAATGATGTAGTCGTTATCAGTGGCTGTTGGTAACAGTTCCTATTTACAGTTCCTATTTACGGTTCCTATTTACAGTTCCTATTTACAGTTCCTATTTACAGTTCCTACTCAACGTATTGGATCGCCTAATTTGTGGGCGCCAGCGTAGAGAGCGATGTTCCGTAGATTACGGGCTCTCTGGAGCCCTGCACGACGCGTGACTCATTCCGCAAAGTCCGCGTCAGCCATGTCGCCTGCTGACGTGTACGAGGGCCTGTTTTCCCCACGTACGCCGATGCCGACACGTGTCTCTCGCATGCTATTTGATCGGCTACTGCGATTCGCGCCTCCCGAGCCGCTGCTGCCGATTCTTATAGCAAATGCCGCGGGGTTTTATACGGGCATCACACTCGCTGCAATCACAGAACAACGATACAAGGTGAGAAAGAGAGCCTTTTAGATGGAAAACGGGTGTTTGCTGGTGTAACCTTTGTTTTCCGACCATTTGACTAACCCGCACACTCTACTTTTTTTTTTCTTTCCCGTTTCAGGAGGAATACTGGAAGGCACATTCAGGGGAGCTACTTTAAGCACCTCAAACATTGACGATTTTTGCTTTTTTCCTTCTTTTCTTTCCCGTTTCAGGAGGCGTATTGGGAAGAGCACCCAGGGGAGGCCGTGCCTCTGATGCGTTCGTCGCTGTATTTTGGCAAGTACAGAATACGAAGAGAGGACTTCAGCGAGGAGGGGGAGGCTGGTACTGGGGGGGGTGGTTCTGGTGCTGCAGGGGCAGGTGGGTCTGGTGCTGCTGGGACAATTGGTGCTGGGGGCGGTGGGTCTGGCAATGGAAGCAGCAGCAGTGGTGGTGAGAGCAGCAGATAACATCGACAGCGATAGGAGGGAGGAGCAACCAGGGGAGGCCGTGCGACTAATGCGTTCTTCCTTGTATTTCGGCAAGTACAGAATACGAATGGAGGATTTCAGCGAAGAGTGGGAGGCTGTTGCTGGGTGAGGTGGTTCTGGTGCTGCTGGGGGCGTTGGTTCTGGTAGTGGTGGTGCTAGTGGTTGAAGCAGCAGCAGCAGTGGCAGTGGCAGTGGCAGTGGCAGTGGCAGTGGCAGTGGCAGTGGCAGTGGCAGTGGGAGCAGTATTTGTGACAGCAGATAACACTGGATGAGATAAGAGGGGAGAGCTTGGAGGCAGGTACTGAGGCAGATGGTGCTGGGGTGATGATTCTCATGGTGGGAGGGAGCAGTGGCAGTGGTGGTGGGAGCAGCAGTGGTGATGGGAGCAGCAGTGGTGGTGGGAGCAGCAGTGGTGGTGGGAGCAGCAGTGGTGGTGGGAGCAGCACTCAGATAAGGGCAGCACTGAGATAAGAGCATTGGTACATCAGCAGGTTCAAGAAGGGAGGAGGGGGATGCGTGTCGGGTGCTGTCAGTGTCGTGGTGACAGGGATGATTCGGTTAATTGCAGAAACAGCAGCAGAAGCAGCGGCAACAGCTGTCGGTGCAGAGCAGAGGAGGAGCAGCAGCAGGAAGGAGAAGAAGTGGTGTGTGAGATGATGAAGGGCTGGGAGAGAGGAAGAGGGAGGTTACGTTTGAAAAAACCTCAAAATAAACCTCACAACAGAAAGGGAGAAGTGGTGTGTTACATGACGAAGCGACTGGTAGAGAGGAAGAGAGAAGTTTAGGGGGAGGTGGTGGGGGAAGGTGGTGGGGGAGGTGGGGGAGTGGTAGTTCCGTAAATCCAATGGATAGGAGGGTAGGGCTCTTTCTTGGAGTTACCATCATTAGTCTATTTGGGCTGCTATGCATATTAATTCCTGTTGCATTTGGAGCAGATTACAAAAAATGCTGCCCATATAATCCTCTTGTTATCATGGTCTGGGGATTTGGAAAATGCTTGCTAAATACACTTGTGTATTGAGGCTGGTGGCACCTGTTCAGCTCAGACTGGTGTGGTACGGTAGCTCAACAATCTCCTGTCCATCAAATGCTAACAGACAAACACCTAAACTCCCCTGCTCTAACATCAGCATTCGAAATCACACGTCATGTCTCTGCACATCCCTCAGCTTTGCTGGAAAGACTCAAAAGCTTGAAACTTCTCGTAGTTCCCACCCCTCCTCTCCCCCTGCTCCTGCTGCTGCTGCTAGTTGCCTCTCCCGCCACTCCCCCGCCCTCACAGCACCAGCCTTCCATTTCGCCCGTCTCTCTTCTTCCCTCACCTCTGTTGCAAAACTGTAGGGCTTTAGGCAGTAGCGGCCGTCCGTTCCCCCCCCCCCCCCCGCCCCCCCCCCCCCCCCCCCCGCCCCCTGCCCCTGCTGCAAGTTGTCTTTCCTGCCACTCCTTGCCCTCGCAGCACCAGCCTTCCATTTCGCCCGTCTGTCCTCATCCCACGGCTCCACTGCTACCGTACATAGAAGTGCTTCAAGCTGTAGCGCCCATCCCTTTCCCCCCTGCTCCTGCTGCTGCTGCTAGTTGCCTCTCGCGCCACTCCCTTCCTCTCGCAGCACCAGCCTTCCATCTCGCCCGTCTTTCCTCATCCCTTTGCGTTGCTGCAAGAGTCAAAGCTTTACACGGTAGCTCCCACCCCTTCCCCTCCCCCTCCTCCTGCTGCTGCTGCTAGTTGCCTCTCCCGCCACTCCCTTGCTCTTGCAGCGCCAGCCTTCCATCTCGCCCGCCTCTCCTCATCTCTTCGCTTCAAAGCCTCCTTCTTCTGCTCCTTCACTTTCTGCCACTGCTCCTGCTTGCCACAAGAGGGTGGATAATCAGCGATGGGAGAGAGAGGGCATGGGAGAGTGGATGAGAGCACAGACACCACTTGATGTGTCCCTCTACCTTCCGTCGCTTCAGAGCCGCCTTTTTCTGCTCCTTCACCTTCTGCCGCTGCTCCTGCTTGCGTCAATGAAAGATGGGATACGGAGAAGTGGGAGAGGGCAGGGAAAAGCGGTTGAACCTACAGCCTTCCATCTCGCCTGTCGCTCAGCATCTCATCTCAAGCCTCCTTCTTTTGCTCCTTCACCTCTGCCACTGCTCCTGCTTTGCAACAAATGGAGAGCAGGGGAAGGACACGGAGATGAAAACCTCGAACTTTCCTTCAAACATCTTTGTACCAGTGCCTACACCCAACCACTAACCCACCCAATCCCCCCCTCCTTCCCCCACTCACCCATCCACGCACCCACCCACGCATCCACCCACCAACCCCAACTTATCTAAAAAAAATGCTGGCATTGCAGCATGCGCCTCCTTTGGTTCCTGCCTCCCACGCTGCCAGAATTGGGCTGCAACACTCCCACCCACCCATGCACCCACCCACCCATGCACCCATCCACTCACCCATGCAACTCCATCCCCTCTCCCCCACCTTCCCCATCCACCCACAAACCCACCTTGATGAACAGCTGGCGCTGCCTCATGCGGTGCCTCTGGTTCCTGCCGCCCACGCTGCCAGCATTGGGCTGAGACGCTGGCACCCACTCAACCACTCCCAGCACCCACCAGCCCACCCACCCACCCACCCAACCCAACCCAACCCAACCCAACCCAACCCAGCCCAGCCCAACCCAACCCAACCGAAATTAACCACCAACTCTTGCATCCCGCCTCCCCCCACACAACCACAAACGCACCTTGACGAACAGCTGGCGCTGCAGCATGCGGTGCCTCTGGTTCCTGCCGCCCACGCTGCCAGCATTGGGCTGAGACGCTGGCACCTGCTCTGCTCCCTGTGGCACCTTCACCATCACCCAGGGGTCTGTTGCATGGGTTACGGGTGTGGGGAGGGGAGGGGTAGGGGGGGGGGGGGGGGGGGGTTGGGGGGTTGGGGGGGGTGGAGAGCGGCAGGAGAGGAACTTGCAGGCGCGGAAGGGACGCATGCTAGCAATGGGCTGAGACACTGAGACACTGATATCTCCTCTGCTCGATTGGGTTGACTTTTGAGTCGACTCAAAAGTCAACTTGCAGGCGCAGAAGGGAAACATGCTAGCAATGGGCTGAGACACTGATATCTCCGTGATATAAAAGTAGCGTTTTGAGACGTCTCAAAACACCGCTTTTATCAGTGGGCTGAGACACTGATACACTGAGACACTGACATCTCCGTGATAAAAGTAGTGTTTTGAGATGTCTCAAAACACCACTTATCAGTGGGCTGAGACACTGATACACTGAGACACTGATACCTCCGTGATAAAAGTAGTGTTTTGAGATGTCTCAAAACACCACTTTTATCAGTGGGCTGAGACACTGATACACTGAGACACTGATATCTCCGTGATAAAAGTAGTGTTTTGAGACGTCTCAAAACACCACTTTTATCAGTGGGCTGAGACAGTGATACACTGAGACACTGATATCTCCGTGATAAAAGTAGTGTTTTGAGACGTCTCAAAACACCACTTTTATCAGTGGGCTGAGACACTAATACCCTGAGACACTGAGACATTGATACACTGAGACACTGATACACTGATACACTGATACTCTGATACACTGAGACACTGATACACTGAGACACTGAGACACTGAGACACTGATACACTGAGACACTGATACACTGAGACACTGATACACTGAGACACTGATACACTGAGACACTGATACACTGAGACACTGATATCTCCTCTTCTCGCTTGGGCGGCAAACATATTGGCAGACGCTGGAAGGAATCTAAGCGAATGATTCCTCCCCGCCGTTCAGATTAGCTCCTTATCCGGGGAGTGTAATTTCCCCATTCGCTCACTTTACTCCCCCATCCGCTTACCTCCGCGCCACTTCTTCGCTCGCTTAGCAAATCCACGCGCTATAACGAGCCGCGACGCGCTGATGGGTTCATACACCGCCACGTGTTGCTGACTAGGCGCGGGAGCAAGTCCACGTGTCAAGAGGGACTGTGCTAGTGGAGAGGAGGTGCAGAATGACCTAGACGAGACTGCGGCCGGCGAATAGTGCGGAGGAGATCGCGGCGACGATTGCGGCGGCGGTTGAGGCGAGAGGCTTGAGAAAAATGAGGTGAACCGAGAAACGGAATGGCTGTTGCTGAATGCAGCGGCGGCAGCGGCGGTGGTGGCGGTGGCGGTGGTCGGAATGTAGATGAGAGAGACGAACGGCGTAGATGCGCTAGCGCCAACGGCGGGGAGGTATGAGGACTGGAACGCACGGCAGAATCGCGACGCGAGCGATCCGCCGCCTCCTCGCATCTTGACAGGCGGCACGGACGCAGGAGATGCCGACGCTCAGATCGTCGCTCAGCTGTTGATGACCGTCAGTCTATTTGTCTTGATGCAAGGAAAGGGCGACTGGGAGGTCAAAACCTGTTGTGTTTTTGAGGCAAAATATATAAACTTGATGGTCGTCATTAGCAACGTCTGAAAATCGTATGTAGCCAGAGCACTATGTTACAGCGAATCAGACAATTGCGGTCTAACATCTGACGTGAACCCTGGAACTCGAGAATGGACTGGGCAGAAATAAGTTTGTTTTCCCAAGTCGCGGGCAAGGAACAGGTTCAGTCTTGAAGGCTCGCAGACTTCAATCCCCACGACTTCGCATTTGCGTGCTGCCCCAACGTTTCCAAACCTCCATTCACGTTTCCTGCTTGCGCAAATTTCTTGGAGCCAATCTCAAACACGGCTCATGCCCGATTGGTTACGCCATCCCACGCCGCCAACGTGCTAGGCTTGCTTTACGAACCTCGGTTTTGTCGATCTGGTTCCCAGAGGCTCGGGTACCGGACTGAACCAGGCTGCTGGTGCGAAATATCCCGCCAGAACCGTGTCGAAGCTGAGCCCAGGCTGTGCCGAAGCTATTTCACCTAACCAACAACCTCCATTTTCCTTGCCTATCTTTCTGACACCCTTCTCCAGCTAGTTGAGTTCGTAGCAGATGCATTGAATACTGGGCCTCCTGAAATAGTTTGCTCTGCAGAAGCAGTTCGCTTCCACGTTGAGTTTTCTGCCAGTCGGTTCCGCTTTTGGTTGCATGTCGACTCTGCCTGGCGTTCGTTTTGGGTTTCGCGGAGCCTTGCGTCGCGATAGGCAGGGTTTCTCATTTGTTTGACGCGGTCAAACCGTTGTGGTAGTGTGCCGGAGTGTCAGTATGCCAAGTTGTTACACGTTATTCAGTCTGGTCATCTAGGTTTTTTACCGACCAGGTTTTTTGTTCTAAAGCTTTTAGAAATTAGGCTTACAAGTCTCAACTTCAATCATGGCGGTAGACACAACTAGAGAAAGAGCGTTGCAGAAGCGGATTAAGGAACTGGAAGCAGGTTAGTTTCTCTTATAGCCGATGGTTTCCAGTCCCTTTTCCTTCTCTTGGCAGTGAAGAGGAAACAAACAGGTTATGCTGAACGTAAAGTAGGTCTTGCATATCTAGCACTTGTGCGTTCCATTTTTTTTTCTTTCATTGTGGCTCTAACCGTCCTCTTGTAGCTTCTTTCTCGTTTCGCCTCTTCTCACCGCTTCAGAACGAAAGCCTTCCTGCTCACGCTCTTCATACATAAATCCTGATCCTTGCTTCCGCCGTTTCCCCGTTCAACTCCTACCACATCGGTCGTACGCGTGGCAGAGCGCGATGAGCTTCAGAGAGACCTGGAGGGGATGTGTCTGCAGCAGGTGGGGAGTGCCGGAGCCGAAGACGCCATGGCTCGCATGCAGGCCAGAAGGTGAGCCGCAAGTTGAAGGGAGAGAGAGAAAAAAAACCAAGTAAGGAAGGAAAAAATAAGAAGAAAAAAAAAACGAGTACTGGGAGTTGCAACGAATGGGCTCGATATTCAAGAGAGGGTGACACGGAGACTGATGATCCTACTTGTAACAGGATTGCGTGTTACATATTGTTGTAACACGACTGTATTATCAAGGCTGTTAAAAAGATGGTGGAAGGGGAGGAAACCCTCTGTTTCTTTCAAATTCCGCTGTGGGTGGACAACGTTTCTGTGCAGCTTGTAACAAAAATCATCTGTTCCATTCAACCTCTGTTACGATCATTCCGTCATTTCCCGGTTCTTGCGTTTTCAGGGTGGCCAACCTAGAAGCGGAGCTTGCCACGTGTCGCCACACGATTGCGTCGTTGGAGATGGAAATCGCGGACGTGCGGCATGACCTGCAGGACGCGGAGCAGAAGAAGGTGCGGGATGGGACAGTGACCCTCGTTTTTTGTCTGTCATATTTGACGTTTTAAAATGTCTTCATCAACCTTCTCTGCCATGCCGTTTGCCTGTTGCTGGTTCTTGCAGGCAGGAGCTGCGGCCATGTGGAAGGAGGAACACAGCAAGGTGCGTTTCTCAATGGTTCATTGAATGACAGGGCTGCACGTAGCTGGGAAGGACAGGGCATGGCAGGGCATTGGAGTATATGGCATGGTATGAGGCGGCATGGCATGAGGTGGCATGGCATGAGGTGGCATGGCATGAGGTGGCATGGCATGAGGTGGCATGGCATGAGGTGGCATGGCATGAGGTGGCATGGCATGATGTGGCATGACATGAGGTGGCATGGCATGAGGCGGCATGGCATGAGGTGTCATGGCATGAGGTGGCATGGCATGAGGTGGCATGGCATGAGGTGGCATGGCATGCTGTCTGCTGGTGCTGATGGCCCGTTACATCCCATGCGGTGGAAAACATTTTTTCTAGAATAAGACGCGCCCACCCGAGACTTTGGAGCTGGATCAGCTGAGAACGGCCAAGGCGGAGGCAGAGGCACTAGGGCACTAGGGCACAACCCCCGCGCCAGGGCACCACCCCGTGACTCTCTCTGCCATCCGTTTCTTCCCACCGTTGGCCCCACCCACCCGTTTCCTCTCTCCTTCCCTCCCCACGTGCGTCCTTTCCCGTTTCAGCGGACAGCAGCAGAGGAGGAGGTGCGGTTTTACCAGCGACAAGCAGCCACAGCTTTGGAGCAGCGAGACCAAGTGACTCTGGAGCTGGAGCAGCTGAGAACCGCCAAGGCGGACGCAGAGGCGCGAGCCAAGGGGGAGATAGAGCAGCTGCGGAAGGAGAAAGCGAGTGCTGCTGAGAAAAGCAGAGCCGAGATTGATAAGCTGATGAAGGAGAAGTGGGATTTGCTAGAGAGGGTGAAGGAGGCGGGTAGGCATGCTGCGGCGTTGGTTAAGCAGCAGGAGCTGGCGGATGAAAAGATTGAGGAGGCGGAGAGGGGGAGGCGGGAGGCGGATAGGGGAAGGGAGGAGGCGGAGAGGGAGAGGGAGGAGGAGAGGAGGGAGAGGGAGAGGGTGGAGGGGGAGAGGGAGGAGGAGAGGAGGGAGCGGGAGAGGGTGGAGAGGGAGAGGGAGGAGGAGAGGAGGGAGAGGGAGAGGGTGGAGAGGGAGGGGAAGGAGGAGGAGGGGAGGTTGAGGGAGGAGATAAGGAGGGAGAGAGAGGAGGGAGCGAGGTTGAAAGAGGAGGTGGGGAGACTGAAGGAGGAGGTGGAGAGGAGGAGGAACGGTGCGAGGGAGTGGGAGGCGATGGGGAGGGAATCAGAGGGGCAGGTGACTCGTGCAAAAGCGGAAGCAGCATCGATAGCTGCAGCAGCTGCTGCTGCGGTGGAGGCAGAGCGAGAGAAAGGGTTGCGGGAGAGGGAGGAGATGCACAAACGACTGATGGAAGTGCAGAGGCAGCTGGAGAGAGAGCGGGAGGAGAGGAGGAGGAGGGGAGGTGGAGGAGGAGGTGGAGGAGAAACGGGAACGGCCAGGACGCCTAAGAACATACCACAAGGAAGGCTGGCTGAGGAACGTTCCCCGAAGGACCCAAACCTGGATAATCTGGAGGACAAGGATTTTTTTTCCAGCAAGGGTTTCTTAGCTTATGGCAAGGACCCATATGAGACTCCGAAAGACCCGTATGGGGCATCAAAGGACTCGTATGAGGCATCTAGGGATCCGTATGGGGAGGAGCCGACAGAGGAGATGTTGTCCCAGGCGATGAGGGAGAAGGTGCAGGCGCTGGTGATGCTGGCCGCGGAGGAGGAGCGGCATTTGCGGGACTCGC